AGAGCGCAGCGAGGTCTGTACGAAAAAGACCGAGGGCCGATATTCTTCCAGTACGGTCCCGAGCAAGCTTGGTTAATAAGAGATTTATTATACGACTGAAGTTGAAAGGGACACAAGTGCGGTATCATTCGGGACCATTCGGGACCATTCGGGACAGTGCCCGGTCTAATACTGAGAGAATGTTGACCGGCAATAGAGCATTTTGATTGGTTGATTTTAGTTATTGGCCCTCTGACTGCCTGAGTCGTGTAATAAATATATGTACTCGGTCATTTGCTTATAGGACATGCTCTAGGATTTTACCACGAGCAATCTCGTCCAGATCGAGACAACTACGTAACCATATACAGACAAAATATAATCCAAGGTATGGAATTATCATATGATGCAAATATGAAAATACATCCGTACGGTTAGATGCAGGTGCGTATTTCAACTGGAAAGTCTTTCTCGTTTCAAGCTACCGGTTTAACATAATATTTCTTGTTCACCAAACAGTTCTAAAGTTATAATGCCATTCTTGAAAACAACACATTAGTGACCTATGAATAAATTTTGTATTAAAGAATGCATCAATCGCACAAACTGCAACATTGAAAAAATTCAACTGCACACCGAAATAATGGTTTCTTTAGGCTTGAGTGTATCTTCACTTGAAGCGATGATGTCGCATTCAGACGAAAAAGATGGGTTAAGTCGTTAAGCACAAAATTATTTCTAATCATGTTATTGTATCGTAATAGGCATGGCCTACAACTTCAATAAGTACGGAAGAGATACTATTGACTCATTGGGTACACCGTATGATTACGCAAGTGTGATGCATTACGACTCTTATGCATTCAGTGCCAATGGAAGACCAACGATCTTGCCCAACAAACAAGGGGTAACGAATTGATATAATCACATTTGAGGATGTTTAATTCTGGGTCGATCGCGCAATAAATGTAGTTGAACGTTTTTTAAGGTTGAATATGAGAGCGATCTTCGCAGTAGGGTTCCCTTGCAATTGTAGGATATCCTGATTATTCTACAGGATCAAGTGTACTTCTTTGTGGTAATTACCATATTTGGACATCATCCTTGATCTTTAACTGTACAGAAGCACGACAACATGGGATCTATTGGTTAACGATAAAACTGCAAAGTATGATCAATTTTACTGACAGGTGACAATCGGCCAACGTAAAGGAATTAGTAGCATGGATGCAAAGCAGATGAACCTTCTGTACAAATGCCAGGGTGCCGGGGGAAATAGTGGAAATGGGGGAACCGGCGAAACTGGCGGTGGCGGAGGAAATAGCGGTGAGTTTTACCTATGTCTCTTTGCTATCGGAAACAAAAACACTTTTAACCAAAGGACAAGTCAGCTATCTAAACTGGAAGAAATATAGCGCGTTTGTTGTAAAAGAGCAAGTTTGCCAACATGTGATTCCTGTTTAACGGCTGATTTTGGTCAGGAACGGTTATAGAGGCTAGGTCGAGAATCAACGAGGATGGATCACGAAGCGTTTCACACTTATCTTACATTATCGTTTTTTTTTGGACAATAATGAAGTGCTTTGATTAGCAGGTTTCGTTCATGCTTTGCGAGTAGAGAAATTTTGGACAGAAGTCCTAATGTAAAAGAGTAATTTGATTGAACACTAGCCATGGTGTATTGCAGTTCCCGGAATTGTAACCTACCATGGTGATGGCTAAGCTTACTCGCCATGGTAATGTACCTTGAAACCACAAACACAGATTACACGAAGCACTTTTTGTCGCACTCTATCGTCTCACATTTAGCACACACGCACACGCACACGCACACACACACGCACACACACACACACACACACACACACACTTACACACACCCACACACATACACACACACACACACACACACACGCAGTGGAACAGTCCTAAATAAACTTATGTGGGTTGAGGTTAGTCCATGTTTGCTTTCCTTCCTTTTCTTCTTAAGTTTGTCAAGATGGTCACAGAAAATGTCGATACTGGGCATCGATCGGTGAATGCCAAAAGAATCCAAACTATATGCTAAAGACGTGCTGCAAGAGTTGTGGAGGTAGGCTTTGTATTTTCAATGTAAAAATTTGTTATTTAAAGCTCTTAATTCACATATTCAATTATTGTTTTTAAACAACATGTAAGTTTTACGGGAAGCTCGTAAACCTGGACATGGTTTGAGAATACAAAATATTGGGAGCCCTATAAGTTGGCATTAAGTTCTCTAAAATTTGAAAGTTAGAGCCTGAGAGTATTTCTCTTAATTTCAGTTTAATCTTTTCAATTCACGGAGCCCGCATCTGGTTGTCCTTAAATTTTCGTATAGTGAGTCAAATGTTTCACATCGCTTACAGAAATCTCGTATTAACTGGTATTAGTCCGATTGAACCTATTGCCATTAAAAGGGAAACTTTGATCATGGAAAAGACGATCCTTCTTCACGTAGTGGGTAAGGGTATTTAAGAAACACGACTCGAGGTTCCTAAATCCCACTTTCTCATTTCGTGTTAGTTTTGTTTATTGCTTTGTCATGATTTGTGTTTTACTTGGTTTTGTTTGTTCCTTTGTAAGTTTGTTTACTTACTCGTTATCGTGATTGTTAATGCCAATCACTGATAAGAGGTCTTCGTTAGGAATGACTTAGATTTATGTTATTAGTCGTTTTTGTGATTTTTTTTTTAATAGCTCTTGTACTTTATTGTTCTAACAGGGTGTAACGACTCGGACAAAAATTGTGCCTACTGGGCATCCATAGGTGAGTGCAAGAAGAACGCTATTTGGATGTTGAGCCACTGCAAGAAAAGCTGCCGCAGCTGTTAAACATGCAGCATCTCTCTTCACGTTTGAGCATCTTAAATAAACATGAGCTGTTAAAATTGTTGCAAAGTGTTTATCAATGTGTACTTTTTAAAGGTGCAACATCTGTGAAAGTGCTCCTCTTCGAGGTGTGGTGCGAAATTATAGAAACGCGCACATTGTTGTACAGCGGTATAGAGGAACTATGAAACTGACGATAGAAACAAGTTAGCGGGTGGGTTCGAGCTCAGGCTACTATCTGGCGGATGATAAATACAAAATAAAGGAAAAGGCAAAGCCTTTTTTCGATGAGTCATTGATATTTTTTGGTACCTCTCAACGAGGTCCTACTTAACATCTAAGACAAGGTGAAATGAACTATTTCTTAATGTTTTTCTTTTTACAATATCTTTATAGAGGTTCCCTCTAACAAATAGCTCAATGAGCCAATCTATAAACAAAATAAGACTTTGGTTAAATGTCATCAAGTATGTTGATTTGATCTCAGATACAATCAGAACTGCTTTTCCTTTATTCTGTGATGTATTCAACATTTTTTGCAGCTTTTCTTGCACTGTTCCGTCATGAACGGAATATTCTTTCCGCATTCCCCCAGCCTGGCCCACAGTCCACACTTTGCTAAATTGTCGCCACAAGCTTAAAGTTGAATTAAAGAAAAAAGAAATTAATATATAAAAAAGTGAAAAGAAATAGGGGCACGTTTCTGGAATTACAAACGTAGCTATTGTATCGTTAGTTCGGTGTCATGTGAAACTTCCACCAACTCGTTTGGCTGTTGTTGATTAGTTCACACCTACAACTCTCCCCAGTGACCCTCCCTGAGGCAGGAAAAAAGTTGCTCCCTTACGGAGATAGTTTTGAAAGATAAGCAAATCAACTCATAAAGCCGAATACTGAATAAGCCATCATTATATCTATTTTTGTCCAGTAAATTGTTTAAGAAAACATGAAAAGTCTCTCTACGAAGCCTCAAATGAATTTGACGCAAAGTGTTTCAAAGTACACTATACGCAGATTCATTCTTTGTTTTTGTGATAGATAACATTGAATTTCGAGAAGTGTTCCTGGTTAAATCACACGATCAGTTTAATATCAAAATTTTCAGTCCTACTGTCAAATGATATATGGATAATTTCTAAACAATTTACAAGGTGATCTCTATAAGGGAAGTGGTTGCTTAACAGAGTGGTCCTTAAGAGAGAGTTGACTAGAATGTGCTCCAATGGGGATTTATTTCAACACATGTTTTACCGATATACCATGAAGATATAAAGGGAAAATATAAAGTATGCACAACATGCTCAAAGTAGCAATATCTAGCCACTTGGAAGTTTCCGTGAGCAAATAAATTGTTTTGTCGGATGAATTAGCTATTCAAAGGAAGCTAGAAGGTCTCCTTTTATACATTGTGCGTACTTTCATGCATTGTGCGTATTTTGCAAAGAAATCCTGTGTTAAAATTCTGAAAGAAACCAAATCCTATCGCCTGTTTCGAATAGTCCATTTTTGTGGTTATGAGCATAATTACTAAGCCTTTGCATTCAAATGGAGCTGCGAACACCATAACTGAAACAAAACTTATCTTATCACAGCTGATAAGTTTCTCGTTTATGCCATAAAAGGATCCTTCAACGGAGACAAAGGGTTATACGAGAAAAAGGATAACGAATAATGCTACTATGAAATGGTTATAGAAAATACATAAGCTTAACTTACCACAAACATGGCAGCTTTTAGGACAGTAATCAAACATCCACTTCTTGTTTTTGGAACACTGTTCACTCTGAGCCCATTGCGGGCATTTCAAATGCTTGTCTTTGCACACTGAAAGGGATTATTTTTGGAAAGATTATTTCTATATATCAATTTCGCTGTGAATTCCCCAAGAAAACATCCTAAAATCAATTAAAAAAATTACCACATGCTCCGCAGCTCAGAGCGCAATTCACCGACATGAAAGACGGATTCCTTGTACATTCACCCATATTTTTCCAAGCTGGACATTGCCTTTCATGATTATCTTTACACATTGGTGGTGGCCTGTTGCCTAAACGAAAGAAAGAGAGAAACCTTTCGATAATCGAGATCAAAACGCTTATTTCAAGTGGAAATAGCTCACGAAATAAGTCCTACTATTTCCCGTTTGGAACCTACATGTACACTAATGTCTAACGAACGCATCGACATTTAAGACGCCCGCAACTATCCCCAGAAAATGGGGGTCATTGCTGTCACGATGACATGATAAAATTTCCAGTTTCCTCAGTAAGATGAACTTAAATCAATTGCTAATGCAAATAAAGAGCGTTGGAAACACTCGGAGTATCTTCTTCTCGTTCATTTCAACTAGTATTGCGTACTCAATCTGTCGGCCAACGGCATTATCGAACAAATATCCTATCTATACAGCTGGATCAAAATCCATAGCTATTGATCGTCTTCACCATCGTGACCTTACACAAACACACTGGTTTGTGCAAAAGCAGTGTGACCTTGCCTGCATGAATTTGGGCTTGGGCTGGCATCGGGCCTCTTGGTGGATCTGAAAGGGTTAAAGATTAAAGTACTAAGTCTTGATTCTACTTCTCAGGACCGTGTTACATTTGAAGTCTTCACCTACTAGTGTAGAATTCATGTAAAACGAATAATTTTTTTAGTCTATTGATGTGGAGAAGTCAGTTAAACATAACACTGCTTCAAGTATTTATTCAATCAAATTGGTATGAAAAGAAAGATACGTGATCCACTTACGGCAAACTTGGCAACTCTTTTTGCAATGTGAACGCATGTAGTCGATGTTTTTATAGCAACCATTTGGCTGTGCAGCCCATGCTGGGCAAAAAGAACTGTCGTCTTTGCACTCTAAAAGTAAATTGTAACAAATGGATAAATTTTTAAAGATATTTGATCAATTTATGGTGAAGTTGTTGAAGAGAGCCCTTCAATTACTCATTCTGGACTCCAAATGACGGGGAAAGAAATACCCGATAGATACTCATAAGCTAGAGAAAAATTAGTTACGGACTCAACATCTTGACCACTGCGATGACGAGTATCGTTGTTGGTGAGACTACAGAATTATTTTGAATTATTTGTTTCTTTTGTTTATCGTGGGCCTCCTGGGAGGTAGCTTGTAACTAAGTGTGATGCCACATTAAATAAAGAATTACTTACTTTACTTACTTTACTTTTTTTACAGACCACGCTAAACCACTGACGATTTGTTAAATGTGTCAACAAAAAAGTGGATAAGAACTGTGTAGAGGAGGCTAAGACAATCTAAACTATTAAAGCAGTTGGTCTACACGGCATTTGATGACAAATACCACAAACCAAATTCCTATAGACCTTTTCTGCGTAGCTAACTTAAGATATAATTTCTATCTTACCACATGTGTGACAGCTTCTTGCACAGTGTTTGCTCATAAACTGAACATTTTTCTCACAATATCTAGCAGCCTTCCACTTTGAACACGACACATAGTCGTCCTGACATGCTGTGGAAAAACGATGAATTTTACAAAGAGTAAAGTTAACAGAGAAGCCTCAAGTCAATTGGATACTCACAATCCTTGAAAAACAAACTCTACTGATCCAGATACTTTTTGTGAAAATATATACGTGGATTCATTCCATGGCACAAGTGCAAAAACATATCGTAGAAACATCGCATTTTTTAAGTGTTTCTTTGGGCAGAACGCAATCTAAATATTCTGGAGTGACTACATCTAAGGAATCATTCTGTAAAGTTATGCCAAGACAACCTATGAGATAGGATAATCATTCCAAACGCCAGAGAAAATTCCTTTTTGTCTTGTCATGAGCGTGGGACAAAAAAGATATTAGAAGTCGCCCTGAGGAATCGATCCTCAGACCCGCGGATTCCGCGCTCTGCTGCTCTACCACTCAACGCCATTATAACATAACCAAAGTAAAGCGCGCACTCTGATTGGTCAATTTAGCGTCCCCCATTTGACCATGGGTGTACGCTGCTGACGTGAGCAAATGGAAAGACTATTTTTCCGCGCGCTTGTTTTTTCTGGTCACGTAAGATTTGTTAAATAAAAGGGAACTCTTTAGCTACAATGTATCAATGTTATGTTATAAAACAAATGGTAAACACCACAGCGTACACTATTGAGTTATGGATGCACTTGGGAGGTTTGCTAAACACTCAAGAAGCTAGAGTCGCTCTCGGCTATCGCCTTGAGCGACTCTTACGCTTCTTTCGTGCTTAGCAACCTCCCGCGTGCATCCATAACTCAATAGTGTGCGCTGTGGTGTTTACCATTTGTTAATTGGAACGTACATGTAGTTTTTGGCTTTACAAAATTTTAGGTACAAATGTTGGCTACAAAAGATAAAGACTGTCACTCACAACAAAGTCCAGGATCAATGTACACGTCGTCAATGGCAATGTCAGAATATCCTGTGTCTCCGACTCGGGCGATGATTTTGAGCTAACGGCATAAAACAAAGAAACACATAAAGCAATAAAAAAAATGATATAAACTGTGATTCAGTGCTGTATAAAGTTCATGTATGTCTATTCTCTTAGGCGCAATGGATAACGCATTAACTGTTCATTGCTTTATTGATTTAGCTGTATCACCAGATTAAGGGGCACTGTTAGTAAAAATCAAATATGATCATCAAAATCGCGGACACAGCCAAAAAATCGATTTCGCTCATACTTTCTATATTGATAGAACCTTGTACCAATGTAACCAAAACAGGGTTAGTTTATTCTAATTTTTTTTTTGAGAGTAATTAAATAAAAACGGTCGAGTGTGGATCGAGCCAAATTTCGATATTCAAAATATCGAAATTCTGTCATATTCACGGCTTGCCAGCGCAAGTGGAAAATTATCTGTGAATTTTTCTTTGCAATAACATTATAGTTAGGGCCTTGAGCAATTCATTGATGACATGAAAAGCAGATAAGTTCTCGTTATAAATATTTTACGAAATTTTTTCTCGATGACACCCTTTTGCTGTTTTTCAATAGCTCTATGGTACCCTAAAACAACTGCCAAAAACGCTTGTTGGCACGTGAAGAACCCAATAACTATATTGCAGATATAGTTTGAGGATAGACGTTCTCAGATATACTTTCATTTTTTTTGGATAATTTTTGGTTTTGCAGTAACCCTTGTTTGAAGTTTGCTTATTTTCGAGATTTGCCGCAGCCGCCATATTGAAGTTTCAACTAACTTGACCATCAAGAAACACTTGATCACAGGTCGAAAAGTACATTTGAAGTTAAAAAATGATAAGCTAACTTAAGATAAAACTTGGTTTCTGTTTCTTATCTAGAATATCAATTAAATATGTGGTAGACTCTGGCATATTTTTGCTTGTTGTCAGTTTGTTTACACAAGATATTTGGTGACTACTGCACCAAAAAGTTGCGTTTTATTGATACCTTCGGTTTCGGTGGCAAATCTACTTTCTGGGCATTTCATTTATTAGTTTTACTTTTCAGAATGATCACTCTACGAAAACTCTTTTCCATGACAAACACTGATCAAATAATAAATGATTTAAACTATGTAGCGTGTGAAACAACCTGCGTCTGTAATGTATCCGTCAGCAGACTGACGGCTAGCTTGTCCAAAGATCAGTATCACTGGCATGAGGAAGTTCGCTGATTTAAACCTTATTAATATTTTAAAAAGCTGGATATGTCCAAGTTTTATTCATTTAGTTATATCTGCAATGTTTATCTGAACGTAATCTTACGTATCCTACTCCACTAACAGTTCTTTTTGTCTGCTTGCGTGACACTGTGAAGTGTGAATTCTGGAGCTGTCAATTTCAATTTTCTCTGAGAACTTTTCAGAAAATTGTCTTATAACATTGCTTCATTAAAACAATAAACCTTTCTCAAGCATGGATTGTAAGTTTTCATTGATGGTCGGGAGAATGTGGACCTGATCCAAGATCGGAAAATCAATCTTGTCAGGGACTCCCCCTCGTATCTTACAACAAGAATATGCGATCTGCGAAATAATACTTCCATAACATCTCTTCCTTATTTTCTGATGAAGAGTAGCTTTAATTTTTGTTGATAAAAAAGTCTCTGTAAGAATCTAATTTATCTTATACTAGGGTGTTTTTACCATCAGAGAACGGCCTCCAGGGATTGTATATCGTTTATACCATAATCTACGTTAGTATCAACTGATAAAAGGATATGTTATATGAAGTAGTTTTTGGGCTTTCCTAGAATCCTCGGGAGTGTAACTAAAAGCATGGCTTTGTTTAATGTCGTTCATGTTTACTCGTCTCTTTGAGTATTGCCATCCTCCATAGTGATAGACAGGATAGCAGTACTGAATCTTATTCAAACAGTGTTCAAACTTTAGGTACTGGAAAGTGCTGGAAACCAGTGCAAGCCATGACGTTTGATGAGAAGAGTCTATTTATTCATATTTCTGTTTGTTTTGATAGAATTTTGTGCCCCAAAGGGGCCATTACTTCTACGAGGGATGGTTGAACGGTTTGGACAGAGTTTTGTACCCGCCCGCGTCCACTTTCACCCATGTTCGGATCATGTCGTGGGAAGTTGGGACACGGATGAAGTGTATTTCGCCAGCGAGAATACGGACGTCATCCGTGCAAAATACGATGCTTGGCAGCCAATTTTTCTTTTTTATTCGATTTGCTTTTTTTTATATAGAATCAAAACGAATTTGGTTGGTTTATATAAACTGTTCAAACGTTATTAGTTTAAGCATATCAGTCAACCAATTGAATATAATAGTATCAAGCAATTAATTCTCCCTACAAGAGCTGCAATTCATTTCCAGTTTATAACATTACGTGACCTCACTAATGTTAGATCAGGAGCTACGCCTCGAAGGATGTTCGAAAAATGGAAAAGACACGGTGAAATTGACGTTTAAGTGTGGGCTTTAATGGTACACTGTAATAGTAAGAAAATAAATGGGTTTAGATGGAAAGGGAGTTGCTTTATGGTGTTTTATTTTTGTTCAAATTCAAAGTGCCAAAAATCCCAACTGCGTGTCCACGTCTATGAATAATTGGCAATATGTTGCTCATTACGTGAAATTCTTGTTGCTTGTCGAGAGAGCCTACCTGAGCAAGTCGCACAAAAAGCAAATCTTTCGGACTATAACATTCAACTTTAGAATGTCACTATGAGTAAAAAGAAATTTGGGCTCATTCCTTGCACGCTATTAATATGTGGGTCTTTTTACAAATTACTTCCAACATGGAAAAGAGTGCAGTCACGGCTTCGATGATGCCTGTTATTCAATTGCGTGACTGATCAGACAAGTGATCGAACAGTCCTCGATTGTTGCAATGTATCAGGTGATTTTATGTCTACCAGCGCAACACCGAAAAGTGTTCTGATAAGAAACGTCGCCAACATGAGGCCGACTTACTTAGCAAAGGTCGCTTGTGAAAAGGAGAAAGCAGAATTTAGCACGAAACAGACTAATATGTCAAGACGAGACAAACAGGTAAAGACGAGGTCAAGAGGTGAGTCACAGCATATTTTGTAAACGTTTCTCGACGCATTTCTGTTACGTGTACCTCTAAATTTTTCTCTGGTGCATATAGAGCCTATTCCGTTGATTTTGCTTCGCTTAACAATTTAGAGGAGCTTCACATTGGAAACTTTTAACAGCAAACGTGTGAAGTGTTAATAATTCAAAATGGCGGATATTGAAAATTGGCTTACTTCAGGAATGTCTTGTTGTACAGATACGAAAGATCCCATGGAAATAAAACGGTAGAAAGTTGAAGCTATCCTTGAACATGGCTCAGGAGATTTCCTGGTCGATTTCATTTCGTACCGCGGGCATTTTTGGCACGTTTGTTTGAAGGAACAACGAATCTATTTCAAAGGAGCTGTAGGCGCACTTAAAAAAAAAAAATCATATTTTATTTTTAAGGAAAGGTTATGAGTTGGTGGTGCTGCCAATAAATTGCGGAAGCATCAGACAAATAGGATTAGTGTGAAAATAATTTAAAACTTGCGATGAACTGACTCGACAGCGCCAAGAATTAGGACATTTTCAAAGGTTTTGTTCAAGAAAATAAGGTAAACCGTTTCAAGTAGATTTCTCCTATACAAGCGAGAATTTTAACAAACGAACGTTGCTGTCCTATGTATGGGACTTTCGCCTACCAATGGAAGAAGTATGGACGAGATTGAATTTTGAGCTGTGTCCGCGATTTCTTTGATTTTTACTGTACACTTACTCTTAAATACGATAGAAAGAAAAATTGAGTTATTAAGTATTTCTTTAACCTGATGGACCGCAGTTTTATATTTTTAATTGATCTGTATGACCGCTTACGAGCATTTCCACTTTGCCAACCGTGCGGCTGTCAGTTTTGACTGTTTTACCTGATACTTTGTTCCCTCTGGAATATCAAGGCTGACCTTGGCTCCAATCCAATGAACACCTTGGTTACCATTCTTGACAAAAATATTCTTTGCACGTTTACCAAACTCTTGCAATTTGACTATTAGCGAGCCCATTGTTTTACCATACATGGTGTAAAAGAACTTCATGCACTGGCCTCCTTTAGGAGCACGCAGCCACTGCGGGCTCTGAAGAACTGCCTGGCTACCTGGCTGGGCCGGAGCGGATGACTCCATGTATAGATAGTAGCCTATAACCAAATCAGCTGACTTATTCAAGTGTTTCTTCATTTATCAATTTCATACAAGTTCACTAGGCTTGAAAGTTTAGGAAGGTCGATGTTCAGAATCAATCAAGATCGATGGATGTGCTGATTAATATTGATTGATATTTGCCAATCAATGGCCCTCGAAGACCAATCGATAGGTAACCAAACACCCTCGTGCCAAAATCTCTCTTTTTTTCCACCTCTCGCATCGGAAAGGCGGGGAGTAGAGAGGCCCTGGTAACGAGGTTAAATCACGAATAAACTCGTAACGCTATATTGCTATTGATTAAATCCATTGGTTTTAATCCTCGTTGCCGAATTATTGATTTCATAAATTAGAAAGTCCGACACGTTTACCAATCAATACCGCCAAAAAAGTTCCATAATCATGCTTAACAATATTTCTTTTAAAATGATCTCGAATTCCAAATTTGAGAATTCAAAAAATTAAAGAAGGAAGTTACAATGGTTTAGGATTACGGCTTAAATTGAGTTTCAATCAACACATGCGGCGAACAATTTAAATAAGCCACTGATTTCTAAGATTAAAAGCAACTTGCGCTCTTATCATTCCTTGATTCAATTTTACTTTCAGCGAAAGTTTGTTTAGGGGATTTAACTTCAACAGATCTTCTCCTAACCTTTCCCGGTTGTGTGGTCACGGCTGGGCCCAGTATCCTTTGTCTGGGTGAAATAATTATTCCGTTTCCACTGAATTTGTCCCGCGTTAACCCACATGCCCATGGGCTTGCGATCAAAATCAGTGTCTTGATATCCTACAAAATGGTTTAAAACAAAATCAATCATGCTTGAAAAATAAATGTCATTTGATACCCTTAAAACCAGACGAATCAAAATCCCACCTAAAAATGAATAAGTAAAAATAAAGCTGTAATGATGAAAAGAATTTCGGGGTGGGTATAAGGGGGTAAGCTTTCAAGTTTCAAGATGCAAAGATTAGTTGAGTCCAAATCTGCTAACTATCAGTCGACTGTATACGACTGAACACAGGTACATGTAGTTTGTATTTAATATACACTGAATAAAGATGAGGACTGAAAATTCACAACGATCCACCACGAATTATCAGGAGCTAAATTTCGCGGCTTGTTGCCTCACTTTTTCTAACTTTCGTTAAGACAAGACAAGAGGGCTAATCAAGAAAATAATAGTAAATTATTCTCACTGAGAACACATCTCTTTGTTGTGCAGACTTCCACTTGATTTGACTCTCCGACACAATATTTCCCGCCATGTTTTGGTTCAGGGTTGTCGCACTTTCTGAATCGTTTCCTTTTGCCGTCGTCACATTTAACATCGCATTGAGTCCAATCAGACCAACGGCTCCAGTGTCCATTTATTCTAGCTGAAAATAACATGCGATGAGCAAATAACTGACAAAACTCTGCAATTTTCACTAGGGTAGATCTACAATCTCTTTTACTAATTACAGACGTATTGTAAACATTCGAATTAATACACATAGGCCATCTGGTGATAACATGTTAAATAAATGTACTTAACTTAGACGTTAATGACAGAAATAGCCGAGGTGACTCCCTAATAAGCTTAGGGAGTCTGTCGTCGCTTCGAAAAAGGAATCTGAAGGGAAGCGATCTTTGAGCGTGAGAGCAGCGGGACTTTGCTCACTATCATTCTTAATATTAGCAATCCTAAGCTTGAGATTGTCTGAACACATTGACCTAAATCTGTGTTATGGTTGGTTAAGCAAATGCAAGAAATGATTGCTCTATGCAAATTTCCAATTATACTGACTTGACTGACCGCAAGGTAGAAAATATTGGTACGGAATGCAGTCTTGTATTAGTTCATTGAGAGCTTTTGATTAACCTCATGATTATTAATTCATGGGCTAGCAATGTTTACCTGGGCACTCGTAGCTTCCACATTTCACTCTGACCGTCTCGATACCATACACGTTCACATTGCCACCACAGGCCCTGGGGTTCCCTGAGTTGTAACAATAACGTTGGCGCTCTTTCATGCAATCTTTATCACAAGGTGTGAATCCCGACCATTGCGTCCAACCGTAGTTTTTTGCTGCATTGAAGGGAAGGAAATAATGAATTAAGGCTAACGTAGACAACTCCTGACTTATCTTTAGATGTTGCGATTCACGTACATTATTAACCATGACAAAAATATACTTTTAAAATGCGCAAATCTAGGTTCTTCTAGTTGGATAAGCAGTGCTAGTTTTACCACTCGTCTGTGAGAGATGTCTAGGTTGTAAAAGGAATACATACAAAGAGTAATATAATGGTTTCACAATCACAATATTAGGGTCTTACTTATTCACAGCCTTTGAAGGGATGGGTACAGTCTTGTTTTGAAAGTATGCACACCGCTGAACTAAATGCCAAAACCGACATTAGATTCTGCAGCACAAGTCGATTAGAAACATTAAACTCCCCTTGGGTTGGATGGCACAGTTAGTTCATGACAGATTGCCCTTTAGCTTTTTCTGTCAGGTTCCCCTGATGCAATTCAGCACAATCCATTTATACATCCATATCGATTGATAACAACAAAAAAATACGTCCCCTTCCATGGTAGGAATTCGAACCCTAATGTTAGGGAGTTCGTCGGGCTAACCTCTCCTATTTCGTTAACTGTTTTCCAGAAGTAAATCTTCTCTTAAACCAAACCTTTAAGACACAGCTTTGCGCATAAATCACGTACTTTTGCAATCATACAAGACGTTGAGTTCAGCGATATCCTGAGAACTCATCGTTTTCCCGGGCATTCCAAAATCCTTCCATCCGGTGGGTCGATCTAACCGAACGATCGTGTCTAGTCCGTTCTTCGTGAAAGCTCTTCTGTCATAGTGCATGATGGATTGAAAATCGTAATTCTGTCCAATCTTGTCTATAGTTCGGTAGCTATACTTGTCAAACTGGTCTGAAAATCCTGTCAAATAAAGTGGCATCGAACAGTTATTAGAGAGGGCAGATCTGCCCACTCTACTAAATAGACGCTTACAGGACCTGTGCATCCTCGTGTATAAAGTAAAGCATAAACTGTGTCCTGCATATATAAGTAACATCTTCAAAGTACACAACAATGATTAAACCCTGAGGCAAGCCGATTTCTCTATACCAAGGTATGAAACTGTCACTTATGGCAAACACTCTCTAAGATTTCTGGGGCCCAGGTTATGGAGAAAATTGCCCAAGAGTATAAGGGAGGTCGAGACCCTCAAGTCGTTCAAAGGCAAGATACGCCAACTCAGCATAAGTGAGCTCTTGGATCATGGCAGCACGCGCTGTAGCCTCTGCTCCTCTTGAATTTTATATATTTTTATCACAAATCCCGTAATCAGTTAACTACAGATTTTCTCTTAGTTATAATATACATACTACTGTAAATAGCTCCTAGTCTTTTTTTCTTTTTTAGTGTCTCAAATTAGTAAGGGATTTTTCCCTAGCTAGACGGCTTCTGACACTTTTAATAAAGTTTTACTACTACAGTACTACTACTACTACAGTTTTCCAAGTTTTCCTATAGCCGCGTTCATAACACCAAGAATTCATGACCAGTCGAGACCAAAACTTTCGAAACCGTTTCTTCTTTACTTGGTTTAATTCAATCGATTTAAAGATTCTGATTTTTTTATCTCACTCCTCTCTAAATCTGTTTGTTTCTATTATCGTCACAGGCATACGTTAATAAATTGTCAGTTGACCAGAGTCGTCGCCAAATTTATGTTCTGATAAACGTATAAGTTAACACTGACCTCAAAAATCCTTTATTTCATCAGCTTTTCATAACAGGCAGAAACATTTAAGAAAGGAGTTTTTTTTTGTTTAACTTGTTTGTTTGTTTTTGTTTTTGTTTTTTTTTTCTGAGGAGATACTCACGTAAGGCTTTTACTTGGGTGTGGTTGTCGTTATCGACATAAACTCACCGTCGAGAATATTTTCCCATTTGATTTCAACATATTTGCCTCTATCATCTCTGGATTGCTCGTGGAAAAATCCTTAAAACAGAGAGCCCAAAAGGGTAGATCATTAAGTCCATTGTCAAACTGACAAAGCAACTTTTCAAGGCAAGGAAAACTATGCTATCCTGTTCTATCCGGCTTACGAGAGAGAAGTCAAAGGTTACGAAAGTAATTATTAGTCGTGCAGTCGCTCTTTTAAAGGACGATCTTCTTTTGTTTTATTTGCAGGTGCTCTTCTAAGGTGGGAAAGAGGTATACCTCTTTTCAACAAAAGCAGTTGAATATTTCAATCAACTGCGCCGTCTCGGGGAAATGAAAAACACACATAAAACATGGGCTGGTGATTTGCAAAAGTTCGCTCCACCTTAGCAAAATTTCAAGACCATTGTGATCCAAATCCAAGGATTGATTGTAAGATAAGGGAATTATGGGCAGTTTGAGATTAAAAACATCATTTTCAAGAAAAAAAGTTTCTGAGGCTGTTTTACACCCTATTTGTGGGGTGCTCAATCGCGTAAATACTGTTAGGAAGATACACGAAGCAACTGACTAAATACCTGTAGCTTTTTATTTTTTACGAAGTAAACACAAAGTAATAAATTAAGAGGGATAGCTTTCTTACCCAGAGTATGCATTAACTCGTGTATAATGGTGCCTTCGAAGTTACATCCCTCCGCCAAGGAAACTTTCTGACCGCCAGCCGAAGTATACCTCTTTCCCACCTTAGAAGAGCACCTGCAAATAAAACAAAAACAGTTCATGTGATAGTGCGGTCTGATCGATCGGGCGAGTTTAGTTCCGAGAACTACCGTTGTTGGTTGACTGACGTTTCGACAACCTGAGCGGAAGTCATTATCAGACTAAAGGAAAAAAAAAAACGCGACAACTGACTACACAATCACATGTTACCTTAGGTTTCAAACCATTTACTGAAGTAGATACGCGATAATAGGGTTTAATAAATGAGATATAGGAATGGAAGACAACAATAATATTGAACTTTTCTTAAATTTTGCACAATCGAACAATTACTGTCTCGAAGAAAAACACCACAACTGACATTGACACTTATTCTTATTTTTTTGATGTCTGTAAGAAACAGGAAACGTATCTCAAATTTAGTTTATAACGATAACAACTTAGTTAAAAATTTTCAATTAATCCCAATGCTTTTTTGGCGGCAACATATTTTCAAAGCGAACTTGCATAATCCCACGACTGTCTGAATTAGACAAAAAAATCATGATAAAGTTATCCTGCGGAAAACTGTACCCGTCATCGTTGGTGAAGAAGATGTAGTTCTTCTGGCCCCGGTATGGCACAAATCGTACGCACGATACACTATGAAACATCTTGATAACTTTCATAAGATTAGTCCGGATGTGCCCTAAAAAAAGGGAAAATAGAATCATTAAAAGAAGGGAGATAAAACAGTAAATAAATATATATTATTAACCAAGCGCGAGGGCCGTACTGGGAGAATATCGGCCCGAGGTCTTGACAGTACGGACCGAGCGCAGCGAGGTCCGTACAAAAAAGACCGAGGGCCGATATTCTTCCAGCACGGTCCTGAGCAACCTTGGTTAATAAGAGATTTATTGTACGACTGAAGTTGAAAGGGACGCAAGTGCGGTATCATTCGGGACCATTCGGGACAGTGCCCGGTCCAATACTTAGAGAATATTGGACCGGCAATAGAGCATTTTGATTGGTTGATTTTAGTTATTGGCCCTCTGACTGCCCGAGTCGTGTAATAATATATCTTTCTTAAAGGTAACGATGACCGCACCAAGAAGTGCAGCTTTAAGGGACACTTAGAGTTGGAAAGCTAAAGCCCTGAACATGGAGAGTTACGCCTATCTAATTCTCCCGCACGCTACTCGAACTTTTACAGATTTGATCAGCCGCCAGAGCCAATTGCTTGTTCTGAGTGAGGTTGCTGTTTAATTCCAAGAACTTCATGGTGTTCATGATGACAGACTGACTCTTTCCACCGAATTGTAATAGGCATGGGCTTATTAGCATTCATCCGAACGACGTATTTGTTTTATGATGCATCTGCCCTCCTTTGTTTGAATTCCATTTCTGTTTATTTGAAATGCTGCAGTACTTACTCATGTGCGGTGGAATTTTAAATGGAATCACCCTTGACGTCCAAAGTCGTTTGCGAGTTCTGAGACCGTTTCTTTTCGTTCTCGTTTGGCCTGTTTTGCAAGTCTTTCCAGGATAGAGTTCTTCGTAAAGGTCACAATCGAGTATCATGTCTCCTTGATCAAAGAAGAAACCTTTAGCTATAAGAAATAAACGAGAAATCAAGTCAATACCCCTTTTTCTGGTCGTAGAGATCTGAAAAAAAAGTGGAAGAGTAGATAGTCAACTAGGAGAGGAGGAGAATTTTCAGTGAGGAGAATTTTCCGAGGAGAATTTTCAGTAAGCATAACTCGACATAACATTTCCATATGCACATCCAAATGTTGTAGATTAATTTTAGGTTGGTTATAAATTTCTCAAACAGATTTTTACTGTATCATCATCATCATTATCATCATTATCATCATTATTATCATCATCATTATAATTATTATTACTATTATCATTATTATTATAATTTTTTTCTTTCTAACTTTTTTTACCACTGCATCTTTTCTCTTAATCATTTCCTCTTGACAAGCCATAGCAAGCAAGGACCTATTTACTTGTCTCTTTGACTGATCAGAGGGAAATAGCACTTAGCTAGTCTCATCCAAGCTAACCAATCAGCGCACGGAGAACTTTCTTTTCATTTAAATGATATATGACGGAAAATATCAGCAAAAGAGGAAACTTTTCAAAATCACCCTGATTCGTCGTTTCGATCATTTCCTGTACGTTGCCTTGATATTCCCGTTTTTCCTGGAGTTCCCTTTTCTCTTGTCGCTTTCTCCAATGGGCAAGATTGACGGCGATTATCCGTCCCATCGCATTATCATAGTCTGTCGGTTCGCAAAGTAAATCAATTAATCACTGGTGAAGTATGGGGTACAATGTGTCGCAGCTGATAGCAATCTTTAAGTCCATCTTTATTTCTGAAAAATCGTCCTTTCCAATGGGAAGTTTTTATTGAGCTTACTATCCCTTTCCTCCTTAAATAGTTGGCATGAATTTGATCTGATAAACAATCACTAAACGAACATTAATCTCTTTGAAAACACTTAAACATAATAAGGATTTATTTTCTTACTGCTCGTTAAGTATAAATTCCTTAGTAAATTTGTGAGGCGTGGAGTTCAAACTGCAAAAAGTATGTATTCCCCATCGGTATTCCATTCGAATAAACACTAGCGGATTCACATGACACAACCTTTTTAGGTTTTAAAAGTTAGTCGTTTGAAAGCGTGTTTGAATTGAGAACGTACGGAGGACTGCGCAACTGATTCAACCTTCAAATGTTAAAGAATGTTTTTGAATATATTGCCTGAGTGTCTACCACACAAAGCTATAGTTTTCTGTCTTGTTTCGTTTTGTTTTGTTTTGTTTTTTTCCAGTCAGCACATATATTTCTTTGCTACTAACCTTTATTTGCTATCTCTCTTATCTCAGGGTCATTCTCTATGGCATTGTTGCTTGGGTACCGCCCTGCAAAAACAACAGCAAGTTTAACATAATGGAAAAAGCAAAGATAATAAACTCCCTGACGCGCGGCTGCAGACTGTTCAATTCCAAACTCTTCACATCATGCACATTCGCTTACATCTGATGTTCTTTAGCACTCAGGCGCGCGTTTAATAGCCTTGGAATGGTGGTTTTTCTGGTATTTTGTGAAGAAGCAGGTGGAAGTAGGAGTTATAGTTTCATAAAAAAAAGTGAATCTATTTTGATATCGTTTCTCAGAATTAAATATAGCATGACACCTTAAAGAAGGAAATACTGAGTAGAAATTGAACGCAACATAAATACACTCCTACCAGCTTTCAAGCGGGGTGTCTCTCATTGTTAACTCCCCTAAAATCGACGAATTCGTGATCATCAGTTATCGGTCTTTAACATTCTTAAACTGTAGTTAAATACCTGCGTTGCATCTTTACGATCCCTGCGAATATTAGAATAGGCAACCAGAAATTGCATGAATAATGAATATCAACTTTTATTATTTCTTTTCTAAGTGGAGAATTTATATTGTTTATTTTGACGAGCCCCTTTAAGCCACACCGATCATCATGTAAACTCCTTGCGAGAATTATTTGTCTTTTTAATATGTTTGATATTCATTATTTGCTTGTTTTGATTACACTGGCGTTTAACTGTAATTATAAACTCGTCAAGGTTTCTGGGTTGAAGATAACACCGCTAAATCAGAGCAAGGTGTTAAGAAATCAGTCGCTGGATGACCAAATTACGTCCTGGATACATAAAAACAGTCTTATAAGTTCGACCAATCGTCCGACGAAGCGACAGTCTATTGAGCTATCAAATGTGGACGATAACGTTGAATCCAATTATGAGACCACCTATGACAATCAAGATATGGACGATTTTGATGAGAACAATACAGGAGAGAAGCTGAGTGACAGACAAGTGATTTTAGATCCAAATGAAGCGAATGCTTTACGAGTTCCTCATCCATATCCATTCCAGCCCCTTCATGTGCGCAGTGACTGGCATCCCCGAATGGAACCGCTAGAGATTTTCCCAACTCCCATCGATGTTCACCATTACAGGAAAGTTCCAGTTGCAGTTCAGGTGCCAAGATTTGAAATTGTTCAAAAACCTTATTATGTTCCTTTCAAAGAGTCGCCAGATTACAGCGTGTTGCATGTGGATGTCTATCACCCAGGTTGGTATTGAGATTTTTAAGGATACCATATATTATCATGTATCAGTTCAAATCTTCTCATCAACAGATAGATTGGAGTGACTTTCCTCCATCTCATAATCCGGTATGACTGAAAATTCCAACGAGTTGCTATCTATTTGGTCAGGGAATTAAGTTTAACGACAGAAAATAAATGGCTTATAGCTAAAATTATCTTCTTTAATTGACTATTTCAACGCAACAGCTAATCCTTGCAGAAATGGTGGTCTTTTATTATCTAGTCGCTTTGGCTATCATTGCTTGTGTTCAAAGGACTACCATGGGAGGTTTTGTGATGGTATGTATGCACTTAATGGTTTCTTTATTTCGTCAAGGAAAAAGTATATCTCAATCACAACGTTCGGTTAACACTGGTTTCTAGTTCACGTCAATGCACTCATGTACTTTTTTGACTTAAATTTTTTAGATTTTTTTTTCATTTTTCCAATTTATTTGTTTTATTTTCATCGACAGCCAAGCTGTACTGCTCGTCAAGCCCATGTGAACATGGTGGAAAGTGCGAGGAGATAGAGAACAATTATCAATGTCAGTGCCAAACGGGATACATGGGTTATAACTGTGAAGGTAAATAATTAGCTTATAGACCATTTTAAAGCAAAGGTTCTGGAACATTCATCTCATGCCAATTTGCTCAGAATTGAGATTTTACCGTAGGCATTGGTACCTGTTCTAAACAAATCCCCTATCATTCAGCTACAGAGGTGTCAAAACAAAGATTGAACTTAGTTTTCAAATAAAATGAGACTCCGATTTTCTTGTTACTGTTGTGATAGTGTTTTTTTTTCTAAAATAGATATACTAATTATTTTTTTCAAAATCATAGAATTAACCGAAGCTAAACCGAGCTAAAAGTTCTACTGAGTAGTGATAACAATGAGGAGAGTTTGCAAATTTTTCCAAGAAGTAGAGGTTATACTCGTCGATAGGTTTTGCCTTTTTTGTCGGACACTCCTGACCAACAATCTTAAACCTGTTCTTTTTATCATTATTTACAAAAGTTAGGGAAAAAGCCGATGCACTTAAATACGATTTCATGATTTATCTACATGTTGAATGCTTCTGTATGACATATACGCACGCGTTGATTTACTTGGTTTTAGAAAAGAACTTCTGCAAACCAAACCCATGCAAAAACGACGGACAGTGTGTGGAGACTACTAGTAATTACAAGTGCTACTGCAGATCTGGATTCACAGGGAACCATTGCAAAGGTAATCCTTTAATAAATGATTTCATAGGAATGGACTGGGCTTACACCTTTGAAGTAGACTAATTCGTTATTTTATCATCGAAAGAAACATCGGTGCTGAATTTATCTGACGTTCAATAACTCAATTATGTCATGCTTTACGACCTTTCTCACTTTCACCACGTTGTTAAGAAAATTATGAAAATATTACCGTAACTACCAACATAACATTATCTATGTTGACGCTTTGTATTTTAACGTTATTAGTATTTTCTTGTAGATTTAGATTATTGCGATCCAAACCCATGTCAACATGGCGGCACCTGTCAACAGAGACACGCCTCCCATGAATGCATCTGCAAAGAAGAATTCAAAGGAAAGCTGTGCGAAAGTAAGACGAGTTTACCGATCGCCTCTTAGCAACTTCTTAGTAATTTGAATCCCTTAACACCAGCTTGTTTAAACTGACTGGGAGAGTATCTTACACTGAGTTACTTTGTTTATACCCTGTTTTGAAATGCTTTTTCCTAATCGACCGGTTTACCAATGCTTTACATTTACACAGAGAAACGAGTCTGCCTTGCTAATCCGTGCAAAAACGGTGGCGAATGTATTGAGGATGACTCCAATTATCCTTGCATATGTCCGATGGGATATAGTCCGCCATATTGCAGAGGTAAGCACATTTTTTGACGACCTCATGTACAAAGTTATAACTCTACTCTGCTCTGCTTTCAAAAGTGCCAATGATTTACAAACATAAAAATTATAAGGTAATTCTTGGAGTTTTTCTAAGTCACGATGTGCTCTGGGCCTAGTAATGTTTTTAAATATAATCAAGGTGATAAGGAAAACCATAAGTAATCGCCTCACGTAAAAAAATTTTGTAGAGTTCCAGGTCTTCTTCAAGCCTTGACAAAATCGAAACATAAAAGATTAGTCCTACTCCTCTTCTCTCCCATCCCTTTCTGAAAGCTTAGGATAAATATTAATATTTATTACATCTTTAAGCTGACTCTAGCGACTTTTCTACTTTTCAGTCCATGTTTGTGACTCCAACCCCTGCCTGAATGACGGTAAATGCGTTCCGAGAAAAGCCGGACGTCAGTGGAAATACCAGTGTATTTGCTCTCTACTTTACAAAGGAGAAAATTGCGAAAGTAAGGAAATACTATTCCTGAGAGGAAAATTAAATTAAATGACAGTCTTACGAAGTATTCTTTTTAGAATTGTCACAGGCTTCGTGAACCATAGCAGCCAGATTAATTTGACATCTTTGTACTGTTTTAGTTCCCAATCCTTGTGTAACAAATCCGTGTTTACACGGTGGAAGATGCATTGATACTTTTAGCAAGTACACAAACTTTCCAAAGGACTGGGACATAGGCTTTCTACATTACTACTGCGCATGTCCACCAGATTATACAGGACAAAAATGTGAAGGTGCGTCATCCAATCCTCACCGTCAACACTTTACAATGCTCATGTTATGCGTAAAATAAAATAATTATTAATTGGAGATGGATGCAATACTCGGAACTGATCGACGCAGTATTTTTCCATCATCTCAAAACACAGAAAATTTGTGTCAAAGGTGCAATGTAAATGCAACTTGCCAAAGTGGACGGTGCATCTGCAAGGATGGATTCAGAGGAGATGGCTTCAAATGCACTGGTGAGTAGTTTTATTTATTCATTTATTTATTTTATCCTGGTTAAACTTTTTTTTCACTCTTTTTGTCGTTTTTTGAATGAATAAGTCGTTTGCAAGCTCTCTTATATTCCGTAGCTGAGTATAATTGTAACTTTTTTTTATGTTTACATCGTTTCGTTTTGTTCTTATTCTGCTCTGGAAGCCATCAAGAATCCATGCGTTCCAAATCCATGTCGAAATAATGGGACCTGTACCAGGGGACCTGATGAGAGCTTTGACTGCACGTGTCCAGATGGATTTTTTCCCCCTCTTTGCACAAGTAAGTGACATATCAATCCGAATTCTTCGAAATGACAATGACAAGCTTGATAAGTGTTTTGAAAATTATCAAAAGCCTCCATTTCGAAATATAAAAAGTCAAAGCTTTCAATGGTTGGCCTAAGCCTTGTCCCCAGAGTGAAAGACACAAGCCAGTTACTTTCCAAGCAGTGATGCTTGTTTAACGACTTTACGTAAAACCTATCAATGCGCGACGAGTCCTAAAGGTAGAATCAATCAAAGTATCATCTTTCTTGGGATCAAAGATCAACGATTTCTTTTGGAGAAAAGAAATGCTCTCCCTAACAATTTGTATGGTTCGATTGTCAGGCTTTTTGGTCAGACAAAGCTGTTGCGAAAATTAGGGATTATACACTTATTGATACTATTGCTATTACCGTCATTATTATTATCAATGCAATTATTGTTATCATTATCATTGGTTACTGTCAGAAGTAGTATTACCTTCAAACTCCATTCGGTCGTCCTCATCCATTTCTTCAAGCCACTCTGTCGAAAACAAGGCACAAAGGGAAAGGGTCGAATAATTAAATTATACGCATGTGTAGATTCGTTTCAAAACCAACCATTTTCGTCAAGGATGCTAAGGCTTGAGATAGAAATACATTACCATTGGTTTCCTCCAGGACTTTTTCCGTGTTTTTATCGTCGGAAAGAGAGCCGATTTCTAAAAGCAAAAATAAATATTAGGAAAAACGCAGTCAAAAACGAAATCGGAGAAAGACCGACCGAAAGCTGGTTTTTTCGTTAAAAGGAGACCAAAAGGGCACTGAAAGAGGGTAGGTAGAGGAATTGAGGAGGAAAGAACAGATGGACAGGTGGAAGAAAGGAAGGAGCGAAGGAAACTGAGAGGGAATCTTTGCCTGTTTTATTAGCATGCAATTTAAACAAAATTAAGTAGAGTAAGATTTTCTCTAAGTTTTTTTACAATAAATTTTGCACCTCCTAAATCGTAAAGTGATGTCTATCACATAAATATATGAGCTTATTTTGATTATCATTTAAATTGTATTCCATTTTATACACTTTTTCTTGGGTAAACTAATTCTCCATCTTCATTTTCCAGATTTACAGAAAAAAAGTGATATTCGTTTTTGACGTTTCAGCTCTTTAGAAACACAAGAGACTAAATCTTTATGCAGATCATTCGAGCGAAACACTGTGTCACGCTAATCGGTCACGAAGCACAAAGTCTATTATCTGTAATAAGACCGTAATTAAGTCCCTGAGAAAAGATTTATTGCAAATGAGACCTGTTTCATTTAAAAAAAAGTCAAAATGTTCTGAGACTCGATTCTTTCCTGAGGGAAGATGGGTTCCGAAAGAACGCTTAGCATTGAATAAACTTTTAAAAGTTTAACTTTATGCCCCAGAGACTCGTTCTTTGTATCAGATGTCAATATTTACGTCGGCGAAGCGATTGCTTAATTAGTCACATACTTGAGAACTCATTTGCAAATAAATTATTAAATTTGCCATTAATTTTCGTCGTGGTTAGAATTAACTGTTGTTCGGCTCAATTGAACTGGCCTTAAATCTAAATTATTCATGAGTTTTCCATTCCTGAACTTTTGATAGAGACGATTGAATAAGCCAGATATATCTATTTGGTTTTGGTTCGAGTGCGTCTTTGATCCACTCGCATGAAGCATCAAACAGATACCTATTCTTTCACGTAAGGGCCTTGACATTAACCAGATTAGAACCAGTCTTTCTGCTTAACATCACAGGAGCGGATTTTGCAATATGTCACAGCGTTCTCTACTGGTTTTGATAAGGTGAAACTTCACTCTACGTAATACACATTGACTGTCGCTCTATAGCAATGACGGTGTTACAATTACACCAGTGACAATTCAAACGTTAAGGTCAATGAATCGTTCTTTATCAGTCTTTGAGACGAGACGAACAATCTTTCTCCTTTAAAAAATGCCGTCAACATACCTGAATATAACTCGTCGATTTCGCCCGCTATATTTCTTGCTCTTGCAAGGGTTATGGAGCGAAGGAGAACTAAAATTACTGCAAAACTAACGAGGTGCATTTTATCGGACGATTCTGATTGCAGCCAACGAGTAGTTCGTTCAAATTTGTCCTGACTTCAAATGTCGAGTTTAAAAATCGCCAGTATCTCACCAGGATGCCTTGAATCGTTACCAATGCTTTCAATAAACAGACAGCTCATTGGACCGTATATATAGGACTGACCGTTTTTTTCTCTCCTTTTGTTTATATCGTGTCCAATTTTAACGTATCAGTTTGGCGCGCTGGTGTCTTGCGCCATGGACAGGAGACACTCCGCGGACAGCACGCAACTGTGGAAAAATCGTCTTAGAAACAAAAATATGCTCTAATTCACTTTCTTTTTCACTGTTTATTCTCTGTTACTGATCTTGTGAACGCGTGAAAGGTATGTCAGATGTGAAAGTGTTTATAATTTGCAAAATCAACGAAGCGGAAAAAAATTATGCTTAGTGAAAGGAAAGGTCAAATATATTTTAATCAACCAACTGAGTGTCGGTTGGATTACATACATACATACATATATACATTTATTTGGTAAAGCAGGTTAAGTTAATATAATCGCAGTAACCGTTGAGAATTTGAATGCGTTGTAAGGAGTACTAGGGAGAACAAAAAAACACAACAGACACACAAGGAATGAGTAAGTTTTATTAATCTAACGTGTAAAATATTCGGATTATTTCGAATATTTCGGAATATTTAGCGTTTTAAATGGACCATATTTTGTTCTCCATACTATTCCTTATAACGCATTCAAATTCTCAACGGTTACTCGCGCAACTTAACACCGCGTCTCACAACGCGGGACACTTTCATGAAATAATCCTTCGCTTTTGCTCGAGACGTGAGCTTGGGACGCCTGTGATCGATTTGTGAAAAAATGTATAACGAAAAAATTTAACTAGTCCCAAAATTCGTTGCATTGCACACAGCCGCGGGACATATTCTTAGCCCCCAAGATAATTTTTTTCATATAACGAATACCCGTCGTTAATAAGGTATTGTCATAAAGTTTTACTCGCATTTTCGGCAACCCTCAAATGTCAACGAAGAAGAAAATTTGTTTTGAAACACCCCCACTGGTGACGCAATGCGAGCAGAAAATCGTTCGTGATGCCGGAGATTTAATTTCATTTACAAACCAAGGGGGCTCTTGATTAAATATTCTTAATGGACAGTTAAGCGAACAGTTCACTAGAAACTCTAATTAGTTTTCACTTTAACGATTATTATCTTTAAATTTTTTGCAAAGGGATAAAGGGAATTCCTTATTCTTTTCAATGCTCTCTAGACGTGCGCTTTTGGAACGGAGCATCGACTTATTCCCATCATCACGAGATGTCCTCGTTTTCAAATTGACCACAAACTATTTCCTTACAATCGGGTTGGAAAAAAAAAATTCTAATTTTTCTTTTTTTTTTGGTCTCATTCAGTTCTGCTGAGAAACATAGCTGAGCAAAATTTGTTCCCAATAATGTCCAATAATGTCCAGGATGTGGAGGAGAAAAGGAGCTGCACAATAAGTTGCACGTTAGCTAAAAAAAAAAGAGTGAAAATATGCTGCAGTTAGTTGATATGCACGAGGAAGGTCCTTCCCTCCCAAAGTAGGAAAAATTTTGAAGGGGTAGAACCAGCTAATATCGACACAACAACTGGTAACTGTTATCAAGGTTTTTGTTTTTTTAATTCATACATTTTTTCAATTTGTTGTTTTTTGTTTCTCAGCGGTAGATGTTTGTATCCCAAATCCCTGTAAGAATCAAGGGATTTGCACAAAGGATGGCGTCGATAAATATCACTGCATCTGCCCAGCGGGCTTTTTACCTCCAACTTGTGTAAACAGTAAGTATGAATAACAAACCAAATTGTCTTTTAGAGAGTTTTACGGTTTCTTAACTCCTCGTTGGTTATCGGAAGGAACTAAAAGTTTTTATTTCGTACGTCACACTAGACTTTTAATCATTTACACTTACTACATTCCTACATCAGTATGCATATTCTCCATGCTAATCTCTATACATTTCATAGGAAGCTGACAGAGACAATTTGTCCAACAATCAAGAGCTTCTTCAGCCACTGATAGATCCCTTTATGATTATGGCGTTACAGTTTTATTCGTGTGTGATACTGTTAGTAGACATCAGGTTGAACTGTGCCACGGACCATACTTTGAACTTAATACCAACGCCTGTTGAACAATTGGAAAGTAATTGGACACTGTATATGCTTATTACTTAGAGACTGTTGATCCTTGCGTCCCTAATCCGTGTCTAAACAGAGGAACTTGTCAGCCGTCACAAGATGAAAAGAGGTTTACCTGCAATTGTAACGGAAGTTTTAAGCCTCCACTTTGTGGTAAGTAGAGTTGAATGATAATATAACGTAATAATAATGATAAAGATGATAACAATCATCGCAGAGGTCAGTGGTTCGAATCCTGTACAGGCCTGATTTTTTTCCGGTCTGATTTTCGCTATTGCATAAATAGCTCTCTCTACTGCGAGGATCGTGCATCATACGTATCTACAACCGCAGTTCAAAATATATGAACTTCATATATTCATTGTATCTAATCATAATTATGATGACGATTAAGAAGTTCACACACACACACACACACACACACACACACACACACACACACACACACACACACACACACACATATGTTGAGTTAGAAAAATCAAGACTATGCTTTTATGCTTTTATTCCTACAAGCCTGTTTCATGATAGCTCACTCATCAGAGGATTATAAAATGATGAGGAGCAATCACGAAACACTGAGGCTTGTAGGGATGAAAGAGTAGTCTTTGGATTTCTCTAACTCCACATATATTGTGCTCTAATTTTATGTATCGAGCACTGTAACACGGAAAAATCCAAACGCAGACCTATATATATATGCCTTTAAAAGCACACACAACCCACAATTCCTCTATTCGCTCCGACGAAGGGCTAACGCTCGAAACGTCAGCTTTTGTAATCGTTACGGTGGCCAATTTACCATTTCAACTTTGTTGATATATCAAAATTATTTCGTTACTCCCACCGACGCAGCCCCAAACAGTTTCTTTCGAAACTATCAGCCTTTATATATATAGGAATTCTGTACGTGTTTCGATTTTTCCGTATAACAGTGCTCGATACATAAAAGTAGAGCGCAATATATGTTGAGTAGAAAAATACGACGACTACGTTTTTATCCCTACAAGCCTCTTTCGTGATTGCTCGCTCATCAGCGGATTTTATTTTGCTCACTCATTAGGAGAATAAAATCCCCTGATGAGTGAGCAGTCACGAAACAGGATTGTAGGGATAAAAACGTAGTCTTCGTATTTTTCTACTCAACATATATGTATATAAATATATCCTGAAATGTTATTGACACTGTTTAGATTGTTACCAATACTATCTCGTGGGTTTTATAACATGGCTAAATAAATGAAAAAAAAGTGATTAAATAAATAAAAAGAAATTAAATAAATAAAAAGAAAGAAAAGAAGAAAGAGGAAAATAAATGTTTAATGAGAATTCCCTAACTACTGTACCTGGGAATCAAGCATTGGATCAATTTTGTCTTCACTTGAAAGACATAGTTGGCAAAAATGGAGGTGTGGTTATCATCTAAACGTAACAAACGAACAAATAAAACAAGGACTTGACATATAGTGCAAGTCTATACAACTATAGACACCTTACTCTTCTTATTTTATTCCTCATTAACTGAACAAACACATCTCGAGAGATGGGTCACTCTGCGACCGCATTCTCCTTGGTATACCAATGAACTTCGTAAGGCTAAACAAGACAAACGTCGTCATGAAAGAAGATATATTTCATATGGTCTTCAAATTCACCACGATATATTTATTGATTCCTGCAAACACTACAATGATCTTCTAACAGCGACAAAGACAAACTATTATCGGACTCTGATCAGCTCCTCTGACCAATCACAACTATTCAAGATGGTATCTCGCCTATTCTTATCAAAGAACATTGCTGCACTCCTTAATAATGATTCATTGGATACATTGACCGAAAAGTTCAGCGATTTCTTTATCAAAAAAATTGAGAAAATAAGATCGGATTTGGACTCCCATACTGCCCAAGCACCCAACATCAACGTCAATTATCCAGTCACCTCGTCGTTCCAAACTTTTCAACCTGTATCTGCTGATATTGTTCACAAACTTATTGTTCAATCTCCAACTAAGTCTTGTCAACTGGATCCCATTCCAACACGAATCCTAAAGTCAATTCCACACTTGACGCCAATTATAACCAAGATTATCAACGCCTCCATGGCTAACGGAGAATTTCCTGATCAGTTAAAACAATCCCTGGTACGTCCATCTTTAAAGAAGCCTTCATTGGACCCGAACTGTCTCTCAAATTACAGACCGATTGCAAATCTATCTTTTCTCTCGAAAACAATCGAAAGGGTGGTCGCAAATCAAATATACAGATATATGGCCGAGAACCAGTTATTTCCAGCGATGCAGTCAGCATACCGCAAATACTACTCCACTGAAACTGCTTTGCTAAAAGTCTCAAATGACATCCTAAGAGCTGTAGATCAAAAAGAAGAAGTAGTACTTGTTTTGCTAGACCTTTCCGCTGCGTTCGACACGATCGACCACAACATATTACTTGAAAGAATGGAGAAACGTTTCGGATTTGGAGGTATCGCACTGAAATGGTT